ATCATACACCAAAGACAAAATATCACATTACTGGTTCTGAATTTATTTATTTAGTTAGTTACTTTATGTATTTATAGTTTATTTAACAACTCTTTTTCAGTAACTTAGACTATACAACATAGTTATCGATGCCATATTTGTTTATGTACGTTTATTCATCAATCAACTTTCTACATTATACATGTTCAACACATTGTGTTATTTTAAGCATCTCACTACAGCCTACATGAATCCTTCTTGAATATAATCCATCCTGCTCATGTATTCACACAATTAATTTATCTTTGCACAACTAATCTTCCTGGAACTGCTAAATTCATTTTGTCCATGGTCATTAAAGCGATTATCTCACAATAATTAATTTCAGCTATAAACGTAAAACATTACGTGAAAATATATAAAGTTGTCTTTTGGGAAGTTGCACTGCGTAATCTGGTAGAATTTTGTTAACGTTTCAGAGATGCTTAATGCCATCATCGCCCTGACTATGGCAGCAGTAAGCACCTCTGAAACGTCTGTGAATTAGTAAGTGATAATTAGCTGTATTGGCAAAATTACGTAAGGTTAAGAAACCATAACGCAATTTCAGGATAGTAAGTGAGTCTATATTCGACTGCAGGGGCTGAATACGACTTAAGAATTGATTCCTGCTAGACCTAACAAGGATTAGAACATGCTGCTTCGAGTAAGAAACAAGATCATGGATTCCGAACACTGTAACTGAAAAAATGCGAATCTATTACTCAGGACATTTATTTACTTTTACTTAACAATGGTTGGTTAAAATATAGTTTTCGAGAGTTAAAAAGCTGTAATTTGGTGCTGCCCGTCCGTTTGTCCGGCCGTCTGAACAATTATTATTTATTTTTCTTCCGTTTTGAACGAAATGTTACGTCAAGAATTCTCACTAAATATGAACAGAAATATAAACCAGTCGAGAAAACCACTTCCCCTAAATGTACAAATGAATTCTTAAAAATCTCATTAATATTAATGGGATTGGAATGGAATGAAGGAGAAGCTTTCATATAATGAGGTATTTTCTTTCATGTATTTTTTAGCACAGTGAGCAGCTTATACAAGATGGTTTAAAAGAAATTTCCTCACCAAAAAAGTTTTAAATTCTTCTCATAGAAAACCACGAAACAATGCTTGGTCCGTATGTATGATACATTATCATCAAATGTTCAACTGAACAAACCATAAACTTTGTGAAATTTTTACAACCAAAAATTACTTTCTTTTGAGTACTGTATTTTTATGAAATACAGTGGGCTTACTTGAAATGAGTCCAGAAAATGTCAGATACTTGCAGAAAGTGCCCTCATACCTTACAAAATTGACAAATACATTAGGCCTACTTTAATACTTAAAATGGATTGGTATGGATTAGATTAATCTGGCTGACGACAGCGACCAGTGGCGGTATCGTTTATATACGGAAATGAATCTTTGGGTTCTACAGGCTCCATAGAGTTTGTTAATACTCCAACCGGGAATTAGAGAAAGAGAGAGGGAGAGAGAATGGACACATTCGACAAACGGGATTCGAATCCGACCTTTAGTAACAATGCTCTAATGTCTGGTTGTGTGGAAAATTGTCCAAATAATTTTCTACGTAACTGATATGAACTTACTTGCTAGAACAGATCTGATTATATACGATAACTTACCTTGCTTCTTGTTTAGGAAATCAGATTATACCAGTGACTATCAAAGTTTCCAGGTATCCTGGGAGCCGTTGCTTAGTTTAACTTTATAAGCCACTGTGTTAGAGTTAATATCCTACACTATCACAGACTTTTGTCGTTGTAGTTGTTGCTAGGAGACCATTTTTACTTATAATAAAAGCTACTCGTTCTGTACCGACTCGAAACGACTTTATGCAGTGTTCACGGGAGTTTGCTTGCAACATGGGACATATTCTACAATTCAAACGTTGCATGTGGCTCCCCGATGTCTCTGGCTTGGAACATAGGGAAATGGAGTATGGCATGGCGTAATACAACGAAGATAACCAAGCAGCATTAATTAGTATGGTTCGATACCCTGAGGAGTGATGTAATGAAAACTGCAATATTTTTGTTTAGATCAGGCCTACTTCAGTAAATAGCTTCCTTCTCTTATAGGCCTATAAATTACACATTTTTCCTTTGTCACTGCTACATGGCACGTCCTCATCTTACCGGAGTAAAAGGCTAAAGGTTTTTTTGCGTGAAAATATCAGCACGTTGTGAAACATCCACATGACCTCAGGTTGGACAGATTCTTTGGTCCGACATAAGCAAAGAAAAATGACAGAGACAAATGGTAGTGTTTGACAATTAGTTTCCGAGATATAATTTTTTTATTTTGGATACCTTTCATCCGGACATTCTGTATATTCTGTACTACTGCTCCGATGGACAATCTGTACATCGCAGTAATTTTACGCACTTATACAGGTAAATTCAGTTCAGAAAAGGGCCGACAAACACCATAATCCAAGCATAACTAAGTCGATATTTCTGAAACAATTAGTAGCTAAGCATAAAATCAGGGCAATAGTTAAATTCACCAAAGAGTATCGACAAATTATAACAAACGAATTAGCACTAACAGAAGCTACAACTGACCGTAAAATACGTTATCAAGAAATAGGAAATTGATTGTAGGAATTATTATATGTGAATAGGGTTCTAGATTGAAACAATTTACTTCCTACAAAAACTGAGAGGATGGAAAAAAAAATAAATGACGTCAGGAAATACATGAAAGGGAGATAGTATGATGGATTCAAGTGCAGATTTGAAAAAAGAGCCAGAAAAGTGTGTGCTGTAAGACTTAAAACAGGATTGTAAAAGCTATAAAGTGTGGAAACAGTTAAACAGATTCGGTTAGAAAGGTGATAACATAAAATTATTTTTGTGATTTTCAGAATTTTACGTGAGGTCATTATATGAAATCCGAGGTGTAAACGGAGCGAAACCCAACGCGCATAAAACAAAATTAACCAAAGGCAAGGAACGAGTTGCAATATACACAAGATAGTAATGGCATAAACAGTAGTATTATCTGTTTTTGTTCGCAAATACAAATCAGCACAGTGACATCGTTTCCTCGTTTGACTTGCGCGTTAACAGGTCGTAACGAAGTGTCAACTAGAACAGTGGACTCTCACAGCAACAGCAACAGCAAAATGCAGCAACAATAAACTCCACTTTAACACGTGACTGCAATTTTGGACACCAGATGTCACGGTATATAATGATAGCAGGCGCCAATTAACTAAAGTGTATCGGCTGACATTTTAATTAAAAATAAAACAAGCTTCTGTTAGAAACAAGCTACAAGGGTACAGGAAAAGTTCATTAACCTTAACCTGTGGGTACTGATCTGCTTCATTCAGTGCTACTAAAAGTTCACAGTATTTTAAACAACCTGAGTGATGCGAAACTGGTGTTTTTCAGGGGCGAGTTGGAACTGACCGCTAATTCTGGTTCAAAAGACAGGTAGATACAGAACTAAAGAGAACTGACAGGCGCCAACATTATGATTCTGTCAAACCTTTGCACGTAACAATGAAAAAATGTTTCCGAAAACAATGGAGAACGTTAATTATTACACAGATATAATAAAATGCAAAACAGAACTATTTTGGCAAAGAAAAGGCAAAATAGGAAGAAAGCATAACATAAGAGATGGTGAGAGAAAAGTGGTAACGGGAGAGGAAAGATATAAAAAAGTGAAAATTTGCAGTACTCGATAAAGCGCACGTAGAATGAATTTCTGGCTCTTGATGGACCGTGCCTCAAGTATTTTGTAACTGTATTGAGAATATGCAGAATAGCTTAAAAGGACAACTTTCTAAAAACAGAAATACGTTGCTGGCCCTTGCAATCTTGTCGCAATAAGATTTTACTATATTAATTAATAATAACTGTCACGTGTCTAAAGTAATTATGTCTGAATCGGAGTTATTTTAGATTTACCATTTTTCAAACAACTTCGTCCGGTGTTTTCTGAAACATTATTCATGACTTCCTGCATTTGATTCTTCACGAAGTCCGAGAACACTAGTGACATCTGTTTACATCTAATCACTTAATAGAATGGGGAAAGTGGCGGCATGAAGAACTGAAGTTACGAAGTTCTTTCATCACTGAATTCAAAATACGTAAATTCTGAAGTAGTGGATACAGCGTCGACAAGCAAGTATAAAATTAAAGAAGAAATGAATTTAGACATTTAAACCCTCATTTTGAGATTTTAAGTTTTCACCGAGGTCAATTTATGGATTACATGTAGAGGATGGAGGCGACACGTTCCTCCGAAACGTTACTAACAAACTGCAAAACTATGTGTTATCATAATTCAGGAAACCACAATCCACAAAACTTCCTCTTGTATTATTCTTGGAGGTTAAACCCACTAATAAGCCCGAAACTGAAAATAATTCTGATCCACTTCCCAAACTATTCCCCAAACTACGATTTGAATGTGTTCTTACATATATTCTGTCTTCCAAGCAGCCACTGTGCAAGAGGTTCCTCTATCAAACCTCCACCCTCCCTCCCTCTCTTAGCTCGTATGGCCTCACGCCGGGCCATTTTTAATGTAATTCTAATTATTATGATTATGTATCACTTTAAATCCTCCCCCAACATTGTCAGGGTAATTAAGTCGAGATGAATGAAATGGGCTGGGCATGTACCGTGCATGGATGGGACAAGAGGTGTGCACCTTGGGAAGCCTGAGGGGAAGAGACCGCTGGTGAGACCTAGACGTAGATGGGAGGATAATGTCAGGCGGGATCTATGGGAGATAGGAGTTGAAGGAGACTGAATTTTGTTGGCCCAGGACGGGGTCCGGTGGAGGGTTTTTGTTAATTCGGTGATGAACCTCCGTGTTCGGTAAGCCATCTAGTTAGTTATGTATGACTTTAACAAATCTGAGTCTCCTAACTTTCACAATTAAAATCACCTATATATTAAACAAAAATAAATTATAGCTGTACTTACATAATGTAGGTTTTGTGGAAGACATTTACAAAGTTGCACAAAATGCCAATAAAGCTACAAATACACAAAATTGCATTACTGAGCACATCAAATCTAGACAGAACTTCGATATCATGAACTCGGAAAATATGCTCCTTTTCCTGTTCTTATTCATCTTCTCCACAATACGAGAAAGCACAAACTGCACACGTGGATATAATGCAGCTCTTAAGACTTGCTACTCCGAGCCTCAGACCCGTCTGGAGACGTTCTTGTCAATACAACTCAAAACAACAGCTTTCTTGAGAACAGAGCACACCAACCATCGTGGAACTGACTGATACGAAGTAAACAAGTGAACGCACTCACAGGTTCTTCAACTGCAAATACCAACTGCATTAATAAAATAATCCCACACCTAAAAGACGGGGCACAATAATTTATGCATATCTGTAATACAATGTACTCTAAACCATTGTAATTTTTAACTAAAAGTTAACCAGGTTACACTTTTTCGCCGAATGACCCTTCCTTATAGACGTATTTACGTCAAAACTTTTTGGCGTTGCCTCATTGTAGCAGTGAACCCTCTGAATTTCCATATGTCTTAAACTGCTGTCGCTAAGTATTCGTCTGTAAACAAAGTGTAAAATATGTTTATTTGTAACATTATAATTTTTATTACGCCGCGTACATTTTATCTGAAATGTTACAGAGACTCATCGAATGTCGTCAACACAGACAAAGTGCAATTTACATGGTTTTGTCATATTTTAAAACAGATATGGATTATTACCGTAAAAGCGACTATGCTTATAAATGGACCAGTTTTCTAACTGTCGAATTAAAACATAATTTTTTAATTATTGTTAATCTAATGTCGTCAATTATATTCGTGATAACCTAATGAAAAAAATAATAATAGAAATATGTGGCGAGTAACTTGAGTGGAGATGTACTTGATTTTTCTCAGTGTAGCTTCCTCAGAGTTAGTACATCATAAAACATTGCCATCCATAACCTTGTTTCCGAGACGTAGCGTCTTTCGTCCACGAAACCAGTTATTTTTTAGTTGGTATAAATTCTGTAAGGAATACAGAGGACAGACGTACAGAATAAAGGCCGGGGGTGGGGGGTGTTGCGTGGTAGTTTGTTAGGTCCGGGCAATGAAAGAGTCAGACGGGGTATGAAGAAATGAAAACACGGTACCTAATGAGCATTAAAAAACTTACCTCGTTAAATTGCAATTAGTGCCAAGGGTAAAGACAGAAGGAGAAACCACTAAAAACTGAATTAAATGAAAATTATATAGAAAGAGTTACACAGTGTTGTGGAAGGGATTTATTAACATATACATGGAAGTTGGTTTCCATGGAGAAAACTGGTCATAAACAGTGCCTTGTTAAACGACTATTTATCACAAATAACAGTTCCCTAAAATATGTAAACAGGATACGACTGAGGAAGTCTGAAAGGTAACGAAGTCCGCATGTTATTGAAGCGTAGGTTTCACATCAAAGAAATACTATCCAAGTCAAGTAGAAAAGGTCTAATTGCACTTCAGAGGTAATTTTATAAATGGTGGTCCATGGACAATTCCAAAACCAGGCAACGGTGATTAAACTGATCAGTTCCTCTCACTATGGGCGATTTAGTACCTCTGTTAAATCTCGTAACACAAAATAATAAATAATTCCGTAGTGTAAATGCGGATTGATTTTGTAGGTTTAGGGGACGAATACGAAGGTTAAGTTGAATGAACTTTATATTAAAGCCTGTATTTCTGCCTGATATACATCCTACATTTTCTCAGGACAGGAAAAAACTAGCAAATCTCTGTACGTTCTCCGTAACTACGACTACATAAAATATATTAGCTAGTGGTAATGTCTCCGACATAATATTGGAATATCAGTTATGGAAACGCCAGTTATCAACTTTTCGTCCTCGAACAGCCACAAGTGGTTCACGATACACTATTTAATTACCTCTGATCGCCACATAACATCTGTGCTCACGTTTATAGCAACAGTCGGCTACTTGTTTGTCAACAATACAAAAGTTTATATGTCGTTATATTTAAGAAATAGCGTGTGTTACTGGTTGAAGCCCAGTGTGTCATTAGATAAACACACATGTAGTTTGTAACCATCAGCATACAACAACGAAACTCCTGCCAGCACCAGTGATCCACTTTCGGTATGAATACGTTCCGAAATACCATAAGTTACAGTGCAAGCATATTAGGTACATAAGGTTAAATATTCACTCGGCCAGCAACTGGCACTATTAGACTTTTTAAAAATGCATGTTTTTAAACAACGTGATTAAAATCAATAGCTATAGTAGATTGTGGTTGAACGTTTATTGAAAAAAAATATATCTGATTTTTCGGCCGATACTCTGTCTGGACACTAATGCCTAGCAATATGGCATCCTGAATTACTATTCGTGTTGTCAGAAGCATCAAAACAAAAATGTACACAAAATGGACGAATTTAAAAAGTGAGTACGATCGGTTTGCACCCAGTCTGTTGTTTGTGATAGGCATGACAGCTGTATCAACAGTTCTTTTTATTAATTAAAGTTATTTGATCGCATATTTTGAATTTCTGCGCCAGACAAAGTTTTTTATTTTGCATGGTAGAGTGGGAAATAATTGGATTAACCTCCGTTGGTTTAATTTGGATATTCGGATTGAATCAGTGACCGAGATGTATTTCAGTCTGTATGAATTTGAGGTCTATGATATCCAAGTTAAATCAATTGATTCACCGGAGAACAATGATTGCAGAAAAATATAGTACTGGCTGCTACTCAGATAGAATAATTTTAAAAGCGCGATGTTAAGTGCAAGGTAGAATTCTAAGTAATTACAATACTAGGCTGAACTTAAACAAACAATAAGAATAAAACCTATAATTTCAGCCCTCAGATCAAACAAGAAGGAAAGTTGAAGTGAAACAGAACAGGCCTACAGAAAGTCACTGTTTGCAGATGTAAAATATTTTGGCAAAACTACGTCTTATTTTGAAGCTTACGTGAAACTTACATGCCACTGTAACGGTTTCACAATCTTTCTTGTTAGGCTGAGTTTGTGATTAATGCTACTTTTTCATCTCTTCCTTAATACTCAAAATAACCAGCCGAATGTATAAAAGTGTATGCTTCACAATTATTTGTTTAGGCTAACTAAACAGATAGGGTATTTAAGTAAGGTGAGTGGTGTGGTCCTGTCTAAATTTTAATTCCTTCTTATCGTGGTGACTGCATCAAATTTCAGAATTATCACCTACAGTGCGAGTTGCGAGCTGTCTTCACTCGCCTGGAGACCGCTATTCGTGTTACGTGTACGATTTTATTGTGACCTTGAAGCATAACGTTTGGTCTTCTTCGTTATCTTGTATTGTGAAACAATAGTTTCCTTGGTTCCTTTGGGTCTGAAGGATTCTTCTTGTTCGAAAACATTTTTTTTCCGGATTTTTACAGATAAAATATCGGTATTAATAATAATAATAAATAGTAGTCGTAATGCATCCAGTATAGTGCGCAGACAATACAATTTTAACTTTATCAAAACTGAATGTCATTATATAAATTTGTGCAATTGTCACTATTAACCGATTCTGAAACTTTGTATCTCTATAATGCTGACGATGCAATGATACGCGTTCCTTTTCAGGTCATTCTGCGTACTTAATGAAAGAAGGATAAAAGTAGGTGCCAAATCGCTTTCCTTGTTTACGAGTATGATAAATTAGGCGTGAAGAAATTTTCCTTTCATCTAAATATTCTCTCGTACAAAACTCTCTCGTATCAAGTAGAAGACGCTATTACGCTTCGTTACTCTTTATACAGCGTAGTAGGATCTACTGCATTAAATTCACGAGTAAAAGAGAGAGCACGAATGAATTATTTACAAATAATTTATTTATCGGTCGGTCCCCAGCCATTCGTTTGGTTCACGCTTCATCACACTACAGTAGAGTAACAGAAAAACGGGGGCATTAGATCCACATCAAACGTAACATAAATGAACCTAACATCAACATAATGCAGCAGACAGCCAATCAATAAAACACGATGAAAACCAGGAGAATAAACAAGGATGTATACGGGACTCCGAATAAAAAATGCTATACAGCATAACAGTATCTTTAAAGCATGAAAATGTTTAGTCAATTTCAAAGTTTCCCAGACCCGGTTTATGTTTCCTACAGTCAGTAATTCCTGGAGTGTAAATATGTCAGTTCCGTTGTACACGGCACCACCAGCCAGCCACCCACCCACCGTTCAATTCCCATCCTCCATGGCCCCGGTAAATAAGTAATTGCATATTTAGTGAATAATCCATTTCGAAACGAAACAAGCTTCCACAAACTTTCTAACAAGTTATTTTCAAACCACTAGAATTGCAGGACAAGATTACGTTCTCTTATGCATAACTTAAGTGGAAAAGTTTGTAGTTACACATGACGAAGACTAATCAAGACTGGGTGTCCGTTACTAAAATGGCAGCGAATAATTCATTACTTAATAAGTGAATTCAAACTATGGATTTGCCGTCGGCACTAGCACACCTATTAATATTAACGTATTAACTTCGAGGCACACTTGGACTACAGACGAATTCTTGTTAAACTTCATTTCCCAGGTTCTAAGATCACATGCCTAAATACTCAGTTTCTGGAACTATGAATATTTTCACATTGTACACCACCGTTTAAATTATGTGAAACGTAATATTAAGACGATTTTAAAAATGTATATCCGACATGAAAGTAAAAATCCACACATTCTAAATGTTGATAAATATGAGTGTAAAAAAGAACGCACACACACACACAATGATGACGTATGTAAAGGGTAACTTATTTATAATTTATTAGGCCTAACTCTATTTTTTACATCAATAATTCTAACGTACCTGAAACGATTTAAGAATCTGTCTATTGTTTAACGGTACGGTTTGCTTAAGTCGCTACACACTATAATTGCCCCTTCAATTCCTTCATCAACACTACTAAAGTTGTACAGCCACATAATTCTTGTTTGCAGATAAAGTTTTATTTCCCTCTGTAAAGCCAATCACACCAACAGCCAAATGTGACAGATTTATAAAATAAAATTACGTGAAATTAAGCAACGTTAGCATGATAAACTATTCACTTTCTGTTTGATGTACAAGATATGTACACTTCTATTTATAGGCTTTATAATTCATCAAAATTTCTCTGAATAAAATAAAGATATATAAATAAATGTGTGAATAGAACGCTCTATATT